GGAAAAAAGGGTTGGATCCCTTTTTTGCCGGGGAGTGTCAATGGAGTTGAAGTTTGAACGATCAATACTTGGTTGTTTGCTCAAAATCAACTTCCCCGATTTTCGCGGAGGCATCAATACGACAGTCATCGTCTCATCGGTCGCTGTTCAGAAAGAAGAGTGAAACATCGTCAGAAGTAACATAACGATTTATTATTGTAATATTTGTTTACAGACCTTAGTTTGCTTAGTTTGCTTATTCCTTTTATATGTTGGTGTAACAATACAGAAATATCAAACGGCAGATCGGTGTTTTGGTTTTTGCGTCCGTTATAACTCAGCGTTTCTGAGAAATCTTCGAAGAACAGCGTGGGCCCGAGTGTAGCGAGAGCTGGGCATTAACGGTTTATGAGACGTGATTGACACTTATATAGGGTAATGTTGGGAATAATAACTGAAAATGTGAAATCCAAATTCCAAAGTACATAAGTTATTACAAAGAAAAGAGGAAGTGTAGTAATACTGATTTATGCTGTTGTTCTGGTTTATACAGTCCTCCTGAAATAGAGAAATCGTACCATGGGCCATTTTTTCAAAGTGTTTGTACGCAAGCTGTGACATACAGGCAGCATTTATTTTTTATTTTATTTATTAATAATTTTTTTTGAAGTAATTCATCTTCAGGAGCCTTAGCAGTAGAGTGCATTCCCACAGATAAGGGTGGTTCTCTTAAGTCCCCACCTTCATATCCATTGAATAAAAATCAGCTTCTCAGCTTGTTGTAGACCATAACTCGAAACGCTATTCTTACTAATTAAAGTCTTACCCCTAACTGGGATAGTTCGTACACTTACCAGATCACCTCAATATCCACTTTTTGAGTGGTTTTGCATCACCCTGAATGGCTGTTAACACTCGCTTTGCTACAGGCGGTCCTAGTTCATGTATTCGGATCTAGTACATTGGGTATTAACAAACATAGATAAAACTTACCATTCAGGGGTTTCTCATTGCTTTCAAGTTTCTTACAGGTACAGCAGATTCACACTTCTCATGTGGCTCAACCTTCTTTGATTTAGATTCTCTGACAATATATCTGATTCTTTAACTGATAGTATACACTGGTGGTATACTCAGCTTCTCGAAAAGCTTCAAAGATTTTTCAACTTTAAACCACGTTCTGAAATCTCCAAGTTCAATATGCTCTTCGTAAACCTTGCCATTATCAAACCTGATTGTATTCTCCTCAACAGATTGACTCGTAGATTGCTGCAAGCTGTAAACATGGTTGTAAAAGGCATTGATTTTTCCAGATTTATACATACTAAGTAATCATTTGAGCAAGAAACAATAACGGCAACCAGCGAATGAACTAAAACAACGGCTTTTGTCAGCTTAACACGTTCACGTGCATATTCTCCAAGACATCTAAGCAGCACTACTTTATTAATTGCTGAAAAACAACTAAAACATTGCAACCAGGCGTGAAAACAACGTATGAACCAATTATAATTTAATAAATGCACTGTTCTGGTGGTAAAAACTTCCGAAACATACGAAATAAGTAATTTTAACAGCAACAAAATGAGGTGAAACGCAACATTTGTGAACAATGCGCATCAAGATAAGTTGTGAATAAATGCAGGATAAATGGGAAAAACCGATGTGTGAACGAACGGCTACGGAAATGCAATCCAACATGGCCGACTAACATGGACGAAAATGACCTTTGAGCGTCTCACTCCATCAACGACCTTGAGCGTGCGGGATAATTTCAGTTGGTATATTTGCTTTTTTCGACTAGGAGACCATATTTAGGTTAAGAAAGTTCTCAGGATATCCGCTTTTACTTTCTAATTCAAGAATAACGTTAAGTTGCTCACGAAGTTAGTAGCTGTAGGAGATTACCTTTTGGGGAAACCATTTTAAGGTAACTACGTAGCTTTAGGTAATGCATCATAGAAGTAGGCAGCGTAGGTCAATTGTGTCTAAATATATTAAGCGTTTTATAACTGGTCAAATCCTAGCATTTACGTGCTAGTTAGCCTTTTAAATAATGAATGCACCGTACAAACGTTTACTTTGATATGCATACCTAGCTCATGAGCATTGTACCTGCACGTGATATACATCTAGGTCTGATTCTTTTTGTGATGAATCCTGTAAAACACTCTACTGTGATGATTAAAGTGAGAAGAATGGTTCAAGCAGAATAAAGTGGCGTCTTTAAAGTCTAATAATAATGATCTTTTCAGATTCCAAAGACTATTTATAATACAGAATGGAATTCACAGCATTCGTCACAATATGGCGTCTGAATTACTTAATACCCTAATTGTGTACAAATTCCCGTGGTCAATTGGTATTTCAAGTCAGGTATATTGGAGAGAGAATTATAAACAAAAGAATAATAACAGTAAAGCTTGGTGGGTAGAATGGTCTATTCACTAGTGCAAATAAGGTTAGTTAGTTCGTCGCTGATATTATTCAGATCCCATGAAATACGTGCTTCTTAATGTAATAGGTCACACGAAATATTCTCTTAGAAACCGCTAAGACTTCTGGAAGACTAGGATATGTCAGAAGGAAGAATTAATCCAAGATATTTACGGTCAGACTTGACTTCTATATCACTATCATCAATTATTAATATTAAATGCAAAATGGCCATAGAAATTAACAGCTTCATATAATTGTCTTTTACATCTAAAACTGAAATTAACAGTCCAAGACCATTTACTGACTCGTGATAGATAGTTAACCATCTAAGTATAGTCTAGCAGGGAAATAAAGGAAACTGAAACAGTAAAGTCATCCACATGATTAACAAAGAAGATATGCAAATACGCAGTTGTTTATCATAAAGATGATGGATGATAGGCAACATCACATGACTAAACGGAAAAGTAAAAAAAATAAAAAAAATCAATCTTAGCTCACTGTTAAGTAAACAGTCTATTACATGAGGACATAAAATAATAACACATTAGAAAGCAGCTATCAAGCGTAATTTACCACAGTCTATTGTAATACATTGTTTATGTAGTTGGAGACTGAACGATCAATTCATGGTTGTTTGCTCAAAACCAACTTCCCCAATTTTCGCGCAGGCATCAATCCGGCAGTCATCGTCTCATCGTTCGCTGTTCAAAGGAAGATAAGAAACTGTCAGAAATGTTGTGTAATTGTCTTATTGTTGGTTACATATTGGTGTAAGAATAAAGGATTCTCGAGTCGCCGATCAGTGTTTTGGATTTTCGCGTTGCTTACTGCAAAGCGTTTGTGAAAGTCTTCGAGGGGCAGCGTGAGATTCAGCGTAGTAAGAGCTGGACATTGACAGTTTATATGTGAGTTGGCTAACTTACATACTTGCCTTTTCGCAGTATGCATGCTTGCAGCTGGCTCGATAAGGCGACTTCAGCGTATCGAACTGTACATTGTTATTATTCAGCTTGCTAAATCCTACTCTGTTTTTACAGTGTGCTACAGTAACTTTCTCATAATACTACACTATATCTTCATCCCACTATCTAAGCTTTATATTCATTAATCCGAATTCACTTGTTACAAAAGCACATTATATAATGACGCACCGAAAGAAATCTAGAGGAATTAGAAATCAATAGTATATTAAACATTTCATTAATTTACAAAGAAAATTCTGATGAAGGGTATTGGGGTTGGTTTGGCCGAATGATATTTCCGCTGATTTCATATTCGATAGCCTCCGTATACCTGAAAAAATAAAGCATATGTAAGGACTGGCACAACATAAAGCTATGCGAGAAGATTCTGCATATTGCCATACACTACGAATACACGGATTCTGTTAATATCAAGTAAAATTTCCATGCCGATAAAAGTATTTGTAGTCCACAGCTGGTCTTCATATTGATGCCGTATGCACAAATAGACCTCATAAGTTTTCCAGGATTATACACAAATTTCAAGACAATCTCAGAAAAATTGATACTGTTGCGGCGTTAACATTAAATGAAGTGTTGGAAGTGTTTAACATAGAAACCGATCCACAATCTCGGTTAAGTCCAGTGAAAAGAGTTTTATTAATCCTACAGAAATTACGCTCTCATATTTAATAAACTATAGCCATCAAATATAAGTGGAACATGCTTCAACTCTAGGCAGCTAAGCGCAGTGTTAACAGTGCAGAGTAACACTTAAAATGTTGTAGGATACACAGACATGTTGTGTTGATGAGGATAACATTGCTGTATATTCCAACCTAAGTGACACAGTAGGGAAATTTAAACGAGTAATTGTCTTCTCCAATGCACTGCACTCACATCAGTCATGAGAACCACCCACGTTTGTTAGCCTATCAGTCAGCTAAGTAGACAACAGCAAAACATTAATGAATTTAAGATATTTTTATACATTGAATTCTCATAATCCACATTGCACTGCACCAATCAGTGCGGATATTTATTAAATCCACTTAGAGATAACCTCTCAACATACGATAATTTCTGTCCAACCACAAATAAAGTGACAAGTACACCTACATGATAACTTAGGTTCTCACAGAAGATTCTGTTAGGATTTACAGGTGACTTCCAAGTACCGATAGAATTCTTTTGTCAAAATGTATTGTTCTACACACGAAAATAGCCACATTGATATCCTGAGACGTGAAGTCTACACTGAATGATACTATGCCGAAAGGTGCAGCTTCTAAATAGAGTAGACTGTTTGTGTTGACGACATTACCCACCAACTATCCCATCTTCCTCATTATCGAGATACTTTGACAGAGCCCAACTGAAACACTAATCATTACAACCAATATGCTGAAATTGTTTCGCATTCATTTCGCATGACACGGACACGAAATTAACGGGCCACGAAATGGGAATTCACATCAATCCAGATAACTCATAACACAATTCTTCTATAAAGTATTGGCGAATATCGTTTCCAAGAGGAATTTCAACAGAACGTGATATTTTAGTCCAGCCGGATATGCAATATAATCAACGCGCGGTCATATTACTAACTGAAGCATGCCGTTATATCGTATGTCAAGAATTCACGCGAAAGGGCTCTGATGTTTAGTAGCCAAATTTTTATGTCATTGGATTGAAGGTCTTTATCTTAGCACAGCCATTGGGATATAAGGTTTTTCTGGCAGTACAAAAAAGAATTGGATATTGGATACGACCTTCGAAGCCTCGTTGTGGGGATACAAATCTCAAGGTTCAATCGTCTTGCGAAGATGTCTACTAGGCGTTCTACAGATCTTCGGAGATATCTAGATAAAGTATGTTGTTATTCATCACATTTATTTTCCATAGCAATTTAAACCCACTTTTGATCAGGTAATTTATATTAGACAGCCGTATAAATTCCTTAGTACGATGCAGAAGGTGGTATCCCATTATGTGAACTAAAGAGTCTTCTTGGGAAATCTGACTTACCGGAATCGAAACTGAGTGATATTGTGGACTCGGCAGATGCCGACAGGGATCAGCGAATTACTTATGATGAATTTGTGCGGCAGGTACGTTTGACTAGAACTAATTATTTTTAAATCATTATGCACTATTCGTGTTAGGTTCCAATTTTTACTCGGTAATAGAAGTTCTTTTCACTATTTAGAGATTGGTATTCTCGATTTTAAATTTTCAACACCCGGAATGGAAAGGATGATACCTTAGTATAAGTATGGTATGAATTACAGCCGTCTTTACTTACCGTCTATTCGATTTTTTTTTATTTGCCACTTTTCCAACACTGATATAAAGTGTGAATACGCTTGAGATGACCATGTACTCCTTACCATTTGACACATTTCATAATTAAGTACTAATCGCAGATTAGGTGTAGTGTTGCTAATAATAATGCATAAATAATGTATAGTTTGAATGCAGTGTTTACTATATACTTTGATCAGGGAAAGAGGATAGTGCTATCTCCTTAGATTAAATGGGAAAGCCAGCGAACAGTTACATAACTTATCATAATTTCAGCAACAGGGCTGCTTTTGATTGTTGAAATTGATTTTCCAAAAGAATGGTTACTAAGTAAAGAATATTCTTTTCGATAATTTTATCATCAGGTTCTACAGTTATATATATACATAATAGTGAATGAGTTAGTGTTATTAACAACATTAACGTTTTAATAACAGAATCAACAATAGTATCAATAGCATCAGCGTAACAATACACAAAATATCAGGAAAATTAAGAAAAATAGTAATGCAGATTCATAAATTTGTATTCTCTACTGAAGGCTAGGGCAGTAGTAGTCGCTGGACTTGCTTCTTCCGCACAGAAAACGCCGGCTGTTTAAGGCGAATTGCAGTGCCCTCTGACGTTAGGAGTATGTGGTACCTGGATGTTTTTGGAAATTTATTTGGTACCGAGTAGATGATATAGAAGGACTCGTCAACGTTAGCTTTGTGGCCGATTCGGACCAAGTGGTTTACTATAGAACTGTTGGTGGCTTTTGCTACGCCTTTATTTAACCACACTGGTAGATATTCCCGAGCACGAAAAACCAAGTTCCTAGAGCAATGGCCAATATAACTCGCACCACAAGCGCAGTTGAAGTGACAAATACAAGAAGAGGTAACTAGTCTAGGTACCTCTTTTTTCAATTGAGGAATCACCATCGGTCGTATAAAAAAATAGGAGTTGTAGTTTGCCTGCATTAAAAGTTATCTGAAATGATTTTTTAAACTACGTAATTATTTCGCTTGGTATATCGCCCTTGTATTGCACTTGCATGTATAAAGGCTTCTTGTTTACGGATTGTGAATAGCCCTTTTCAACTTTCTTAGTCTTATGCTTCCTGATAAATTTTTCTGGATAGCTATTTTCAATTAGGGTATTATAAATTCCTTAATTCATCTTCAATTACCCCTTTTGAGCATATAACTCTAACCCTGTGGCTAAAGTTCCTTACTAAATTTCTTAGGTACTGGAGAGGAACAAGGTTATGAAAATGTGTATATTGTACTGTCCATGTGCCTTTCCCATGCAAATTTCTCTTTACACTGCCATCTGGTTTTCTTGTAAGAAGTACATCTTGGAAGGTAATTCTATTTCGAGATTCCTCTTCGCACTTGAATTTCACAGCACAATGTACCTCATTGAATTGAGTTATTCTTGTGTTCCCATCTGAGTCATTATCACAAAGAATAATGACGTCATCCACATACTGGCAATAAAATGGGAATTCTCGTATAAGGTTGTCGAAAGGTCCATTTTCTAGTTTACATAGAAAGAAATCTGCCGAAATGGAACCCAATGGGGAACCCATCTCCACCCCATCCACATGTCTGTAAAGTGCGCCATCAAATTTGAAATTTGCATTCACGGTGCACTATAATAACAATGCTATTAAGATTTCCGTTGGGATGCCAATATTTATTGACTGGTTATACAATTGGTCACATATATAGTTAACCGTTTCTACTAGAGTTACATTTGTGAATAAAGATGTTATGTCCAAAGATATCGTAGTTTTATCCTTGATATTAATATGTTTGATTTTGTCTACGAATTCAAATACATCTTTTTGACGCTCACGCAAAGGTTTGAGAATATTCACTAAACATCTAGTTAGATCAAGGTAGGGCGAATTTCGCATATCAAGTGTCGGTCTTAACGGCACTCTCGGTTTATGCATTTTAGGTAGGCCATACTATTGGCGTGTACGTGCCCACTGGCTTGATTTCTTCATATAAACCTTTAGTTTCTTCAAGCATCTGGTTAATTCGTTCTCTATTTTGCTATTGAAATCTTTCGTCTCCTCAGGTTTTTGAAACTTCTATGTGTCTTTCAATATATTATTCATCTCTGTAATGTAGTCACTTCTGTCAAGGAGGACTTTTTCTGATCCTTTATCAGGCTTTGTGGTTATCAGTCTTTCTTCATTTATCACTTTGTTTAGTTCTTCTCTGTTCTTCTTTGTCAAGACACTTTTGCTGTCGTATTTGATGTTTTTGTACTTATAAAAACAATCCACTAGACTTGATTTGAAGAGTTCTGGTTCCATGGTGGATGATGGAACTAGATCTCTTGCTTGACTAAATAGGTTTTCAAGAATTCATTCTCTATTATGTGTATGTAACTGTAGAACCTGATGATGAAGTTACCGAAAAAAATATTCATTGTTCAGTAAACATTCTTTTGAAAAATTCTAATCGGTATTTCCAATCGGTTGAAATTGATTTTATGAATTACTTAGTACTACATCCATTACTTTCAATATTTGTGGAGGAATTTCCAATATTTAAGTGGATATTGGTTCTATCACTACTCTATACTGAGTGTTATATTTGATTGGGTTTTTACTTGTTCCCCCTTTTGTGAATTTAATCAACCACATATAATCCTTATTTCTGTAAGTGTATTTAAGGAATAGTAGTATAGTAATATCAGTCTCATGGCTAATGGGCGTTGGCGGATTAATATCTTTTAATTTCAAAGAATGGCACCATGGTGGTGCTATACGATGAAATTTCGACTGTGTATTTAAAAATGTTAAAGCTGTTTAGCATTTCAAGAAACACACTCCTATGATTATGTTCTTGTGCATACTAGCAAGCTAAGAAATATTGTAATGCTTTGCTGTCCAACGGAGTATTAGAAGTTAACTAGCCTTAATCAGACCAAGATAGTGTCGTATGTTATCACACCTTTAGTGTACATAACTTATAAATAATTGTTTCTGAAGGAACTCAGTAAGCCAACATAAATTGTTATGAAAAATCATTGGAGAGAGATACCAGAATCCATTAATGGGTGTTGTAACTGGTTAGTTTGTAAACACTCGTCACTGGATTTATGCATAAGTGGATAAATAATAAAGTCACAGAAATTGTCTATGTGGAGCCTAGTGAGGAACTACGCTGGAATACTGAGTGCTTGTTCTGGAGAAAATTGAATAAAGAGTAGGATACAGCTCTTGTCTATCAGTAGAAATTAGACTCCACGGATTTAAATAAGAACTATAAGTCACAAACGTTTATTTGTGTGCACGCTTTGGATGTAATAGGGATTTGAATTTCTTACGTTCTGGGAAATCGTGAAATTTAATGTGTACAAAGAAGTTTTAATTTAGGAACTGTCAACCGTCAAGCGTTTTTAAAGCCTTTTTGTAATGAACATTGGTGGCTGTGACGATGTTTTATAATTGTAGCTGAGTTGGCGAAGTAATATTTCGTGATATTTGTTTATGCATAGAATCCTATCAGCTTCGATGTGTTGTATGGGAATATGTGTGCTATACTTAGTTTCATTGATTCTATAACAGGGAAGTTAATTTCTGTTGCATTTGCTGTGGGCTAGATATCATGGCTTACGATCTAGTGAGCTGTACTACTGCCCTTGGATGCTCTTTAATAGTTTAAATAACTAACTATTATTTAACACTGGTTGTTTGGGACATGTCTTTCGAAATATTTTGGTGTTATTTCTAAAAACTTTGATATCACACTTCATAAGCTTACTTTTGACGTTTTCTAGGTTATTTCTGAGGACGACAAGGTTCTTACACGACTGCGTATTGATAAACGTATCCTTAATCGTGCAGTACTAGCAGTGGCACCGGATTGTGGCCGAAATCACCAACGAGCTGTTGCTCTGGATTCTGGGTACGATGATATTGATGGCTACAACTGGGGTGAAGCGGATGTTGATAACTATGTGGAGGCGTATGACTGTCGACCGCCTCCTATATTCATTCCACTAATAACTATTGCAGAGGTGATTTATTTTTCATTGCACTGTCAACAACTTACTGTTGCATAACTTTAACTCTGTTTGCATTCCATATAGCAGTTATTCAAGGTCTATATTTAATGTGGGTATATAGTTCTAACTATACTCGAGGTTTAGAAAATTTCTAATTTAAGTATATCCATTTCTCCAACAAAGTTGTCGTTTGGATATCTACTTTCTACTTTGTTCTTTTTTTGATTGCAGCTTGATTCCACACCGTATTTTCGGTACAAGTATGGAATTTTCAGCATGAATATCCGTAGCCCAAATTTTGCAGGCCGACCATAGATATAAGGTGTGCGTCGGCAGGCGATCGAACCTCGAACCATGTGCATGGTCGGCGAGAGTCCTAACCACTGTGTCACCGGCGCCAAACCAAGACACAGTTTCTGATTGATAAATCTATCACTTCACACTGTGCATACAGAGTTTTAGAAAGTCATTACTTTTAGTTCACACGTAATAGGTGCACTTCATAGCTCAGTACACTGTGCATACAGAAATATGCTGGTGTGAGAAGTAGAATGACATAGAATTTCAGTCATTTACTCACGGATGTTTTTGACGTATATGTTATAGGTTATATACCCAGCAACTGAATAGTGCGAAAATAAGAAGTGACTCTTTTGATCAAGAAGTTGCACAACTTGAATTTAGAAGGTCTTATAGAATTACGTAGTTATTCCATGCTGCGCCAATATATACGCTTTAATTCCTTGTTTGAAATATTGGCTTCAGTGTAAGCGAGAAGAGGAGGAGGGGTGGAGGGTGAAAGGTGTAGTTCGTTACTATCAATAGTAATATCCCGACCGAAAGCTGCTACCTTGACGTGGTGGTCGGGCTTGAACACCGCAATGACCTAATCAAGCTATACTGGCTGAGACTTATGTCTCTTGAGGTTCTACCATGCCAGGCAGGTTGTTTGGATAGCGGTTAAACAAAAAGCAGCTACCCAATCCAACATCATGTCCAATACAAAATTACAAAATTTCATGCCGGATCGGCCGTGGCCCGGATTAACAACGACCGCGCTTCCTGCTGCCGTGTCACAGGGCGGGAGTGATAAATCTGCTACTGAGACACACCAAACAAAAAAGAACAAACAAAAACAGGCCGCGTGTGACCGGCCTCAAGCAGTTGTCCCCTGGGCTCTGCGGTCACGCAACCAACTTCCACGGTGTGGGCAGCCGGGAAGTAACAATCGCCCTCACAATCCGAAATGCACACGAAACCTCTCTATTACTCACTCATCTTTGTCTTCATCTTCATCTCTATCATCTTGCCTTCCTTCCACTGATGCAACTCCTCGACTTGATAGCTCTCCACTTCCTCTCCACTCTGCGTCCACTAAAAACGATGGAAGCCAAAAAACCACCACCGACAGCCTCTTAAAGCCGCGCCACCAATTTCATATAGGAGCTCTTAATGTTAGGACACTTTGCCAAATAGGACAACAAGCATCACTAGCCAAGACCCTGGCATCACGAGCCATTGATGTATGCTGTGTTTCAGAAACACGCATACAAGACCCAAGTGTGGTTATTCACCTAACCCCACCTGGCCAACAGGTTGAATCTGCAAAATTCACCTTGAGGGTGTCAGGAGATGCCACAGCTAGTTCACGAGGATTAGCTGGCGTAGGGATAGCTTTGAGTACTAGGGCAGAAAAGACATTGCTTGACTGGATCCCGGTAGATAGCCGAATGTGTGCTGTCCGCCTGAACGGATCAGTAAGAAGGAGGAAGGACTGCACTACTCGCCGATGCCTTTTCGTAATCTCCGCCTACGCCCCCACTGACTGCAGTTCAGATGAAACGAAGGATGAGTTCTACCAAAAGCTGTCTAGTTTGGTGGAAAGGCTAAACGCTCAGACATAGTCGTTCTAGCTGGTGACTTTAACGCTCAAGTAGGGAAATTGTGTCAATCTGAGAAGGATGTCGGTGGCACCTATGGAGCTCCGTGCCAGCGAACCGACAACGGTGACCGTCTCCTACAGTTCTGCTCTGATAATCATTTGTTTCTTGTAAGCACTAACTTTAAACACAAGGAAAGACACTGTTTGACTTGGAGACCCCCTTCATCAAACCAACGCTGGACACAAATAGACCACATAGCAATAAGCTATCGTTGGCGTGGGTCGGTAGGAGATTGTCGCTCCTTCTGGAACACGTGCGTAGATACCGACCATGCACTGGTCCGCGCTCGGGTGTGCTTACGACTGAACGGACGTAGGAAACAGCTGGCGGTAAAACCATCACGTCCCCAGCTCGATCAGGAAACTAAATCCGTATTTCAGGAAGAACTAGCTAAACACATATCTGTGTTCGACAGCTGTGCTCACCCTGAAGAAGCTTGGAAAAATATCCAGGCAGCCATAGATACAGCTGTAAAAGCTGTGAATAAGGTAAACCCAAAGGTGAGTAAAAACCACTGGATCTCCACCGCCTCATCCGAACTGATAGATGCTAGAAGACTTATTCCGGCGAGCTCCGAATTCAATGAGGAGCGAAAGCTGCACAAGAGGAAACTTACGAAAAGTCTCCGCAAGGACCGTGAACAGTGGTGGGCGACAAAAGCCAAAGAGATGGAGAAAGCTTTGAGGATAGGCAACACCAGGCAACTCTTTGGACTCATCAGGGAAACGGGTGGGAGAAGACAAATCATTAGTGAGACAATCTCGGAAAAAAATGGCACTATAATTAGCTCCCAGGATAGACGACTGGATCGTTGGAAAGAGCATTATGAGGAGCAGTTTAATTTGCCCACAGCCACGCTCAACCTTCCGAGCATCCAACACCTCCCTGAATGGGATATAGATACAGGTCCTCCGTCACTAACTGAGGTTACTAAAGCTGTCACCAATCTGAAACTAGGCAAAGCAGCGGGACCTGATGGAATGACGCCAGAGGTATTTAAGTACGGTGGAGACAGCTTACTGTCCGGATTAACTGAGGTACTAGGCAGCGTTTGGGAATCAGAAGAAGTCCCATCGGGTTGGTGTAAGTCACTGATTATCCCCATATACAAGAAGGGAGACAAGTCTTCCTGTGATAATCACAGAGGGATTAGCTTGACTAATATAGTATCTAAAGTCTTAGGCTCAATAATCATGCGTAGACTGAGTGGTGCTCGGGAAGCACAAACACGAGAGAGCCAGGCAGGCTTTAGACCAGGAAGAGGGTGTATTGATCATATCTTCACCCTCCGACAGATTCTAGAACATAGGCATTCCTACCGGCGTCCAACAGTCATTATATTTCTTGACCTAAAGGCAGCATTCGACTCTGTCGATCGGGAAGTTCTCTGGAGATGCTTGGCTGTAAAGGGAATTCCAAGAAAATATATTGCACTGATTAAGGCACTCTATTCGTACTCATACAGCCAGGTGAGGGCTTACGGCGAGCTGTCATCTGAACTGATGACGACCAGTGGTGTCCGTCAAGGATGCCCATTATCTCCTTTTCTATTCAACTTCATCATAGATGTGTTAATGGACTTAACCCTAGGTGACTTCAGCGACTCAGGGATTGACTTGCTACCGGGGAATAATCTCGTTGACTTGGAATATGCAGACGATATAGTCCTTCTAGGCGAAGACGCTGACGAAATGCAGAGTCTTCTAAACACCTTGAGCCGCAATCTACGAATGTTTGGCATGCGATTCGCTCCCGCCAAATGCAAGATGATGTTACAGGACTGGACTACATCGACGCCTAGTTTAAAAATAGGAAGTGAAGTGGTAGAGCACGTTGACCGCTTCACTTATTTGGGAAGTACCATCAGCCCCAACGGGCTGATCTCTGACGAAATCTCAGCACGAATACAAGGGGCTCGTTTCGCATTTGTTAGTTTACGCCGACTCTGGCGTAGACGAGATGTTCGACTATCGACCAAAGGGCGGGTGTACTGCTCATCAGTCCGCTCCGTCCTCCTTTATGGTTGTGAGACCTGGCCACTGAGAGTGGAAGACATGAAAAGACTAGCTGTCTTTGATCATAGGTGCCTGCGTTCTATTTCCCGTGTAAAGTGGCATAATAAGGTGAGCAACATGGAGGTTAGGCGTAGAGTTCTAGGTAAACAGGGGAAATCAATCGACGAAGTCGTGAAGCTACAAAGACTGAGATGGTTAGGACATGTGTTACGTATGCCAAGTCATCGCCTCCCTCGACGAGCTATGTTAGCGGATATAGGGTCAGGCTGGAAAAAAGCTAGCGGCGGTCAAACAAAAACTTGGCATCAGTCAATGAAATCCACAACAGTTGGTCTTAGCCACGTAGAAAGGTGTAGACTTCCAGGCTGGGGTCCTCGGGACGGTAAAAATCTATGGTTGGAAACAATTGGTGACATGGCTCAAAATCGTTCTCAGTGGCGCAGATGCATCCACTCCCTGTGACTTATGATCTTCAATGAAACTGTTTTGTATTTCTTTATTACTCCTTTGTCTCACACCTCTGCTCACTGTTTCTATTATGCTTTTCTTGTACTTTCTTCTCTTGCTTCGCGTGCTACACGGAATGTGGCGACTTGAACTTCCGCACATTTGTGCAAAGTTCTATGTCGAAAACAGACAGACAGACAGAATACAGTTACGGTTACTGTATCTCTCGGAATTATCAGTGAAAATTTGCTCCTCTCCACCCATTACATTATGGACTTTCGCGTGCATTTGATGGTTGTAGCAAATTTAGCTTATGAATGTTCACCTTAGATTCCTGTTTGATTTCAATGCTCGTATAGTCTACTATAATTGTTTCTTATCAGGACAGTGAACGAATAATAGTCTGTCGAAAACAGACAGACAGTAATAATAATAATAATAGTGAAGTCGCAAGAGGTCATTTTATCAAGGGAGGGCAATTTTTTAATTGTTGAAAATGAAGGTCTGACTTCTACATGTTTCAAAACTTTCTATCCAATGGTCTTGCACCACTTAGGTTTTCGTTGATCTAATTGATTCTAAGACTTCCGTCGTCGCTAATTTTTGAATAAAATTCAAAAACATACGGACTTTTTACGGTTTATTGCACTTCTGGAAATACCCACGAACTAAAAACAACAATATGATACTAAGTTTGCATTTCATATTCTTACAGTAATTTTTAATCAATTCACAACGGTATTCTTTTATTGTTGTGTTAGTGACCTTAAGTTTTACTGACATACGGATGTCTTAAAAATAAAATATCTTTTATTCATACTTGACAAATTTAATCACAGTTTTAAATCATTTATGCAAATGATTGCTTATTTATTTATTTATATTTTGCTGCAAATTAGCGACTCGTGTTTGACTTCCTAATGGGTATTATTATGTGTGGTGTTTATTTTTACAGATTGCGGTTTTCATGTACTATGCTATAATTCACTATACCGACTCCGACCCATCGAATGATGTAACAGCATCATCTGGTGTCCCGTTTAACAGCATACTTATTTATAATCCAGTCAAACGCCATGAGGCCTGGCGGTTCTTAACCTATATGTTCATTCACAGTGGTTATATGCATCTAATCTTCAATTGCTTGTTACAAGTTGTCCTTGGCCTTTTACTCGAGTTGGTGCATAAATTTTGGCGGGTTGGTTTGGTGTATCTGCTAGGTGTCATTACAGGTAATTTGTTTATCTGAATAGTTACTATGCCCTTATCGAAATGAGACGTGTCAATGGTTAATGGGAAGACAAATATTTTTTCTTATAGATACACTCCAAATACAGCACTTCGAAGCATAATACTAAATTATATTTTCACTCACTGTTTTCATATTAAGTACGACTAAAAGTTTAAGAGGAGTTGGAGGAAATTATTGCATTTCTGTGTTTGTTCATTTGTGTACACTATCAAGTTACCTGCGTTACATTTCCCTTATTTATAAAAACTCTCGTTTCTGTAAAAGTTCATGCCAAGAGTTTGTGGAAACTATCACACTTATTTACCTTTCGAACACTAAATCCAAGAATACAATCTTATTGACAGATAATACATATAACTAACTATTTGGATTTGTGGAATTTTTAAACACAAACACATCTATAATTGTATATATTGTTGGCTTTACATGTTCAAGTTGCTCCAAGTTTATGGTTGAGATATCATTTTAGTTAACTGTGCTGAACTATATTGCATGTTGTTGTATTGTATAGTTGTTGTCGCTTTTTGCCCCATTTTCTGTGAGCTGTTTCCTTTTGCTGGTGTTGTTCTCATTGTTTTGTCCGTTATTTTCCGATTTTGAGGGGAGTAACCTAAAAAGTCGCTTCTCTCTAAATTTTGTCTTAATGTAATCATTCCTTTCTCAGGCGTGAGGCTAGCAACCCAACCCCACCCTGTAAACAAAATTGCTACAGAAACTTCAGCACGATGAATCTCTTTGCACCAAAAGAAAAAGTCTGTGTGGGGACATGGAACGTCCGAACTATATACGAGACTGGCAAAACTGCCCAAATCGCCAACGAGATGAAAAGATACGGAATCCAAGTACTGGGAATATGTGAAAGCAGATGGAATGGGAGTGGACTCACCAAATTATCAACGGGTAAGTCAGTGATCTACTCCAGTTACCCAGAAGATATTCACACGCATACCGAGGGCGTGGCTATCATGATGTCACCAACGGCAACAAAAGCCCTGATGCAATGGGAAGCCATCTCGTCCAAGATAATGACCGCTAGATTCAACTCCAAGGGAAGGAAAGTGTCAATAATCCAATGTTATGCACCCACAAACAACGCAGACCTCGAAAAGAAAGAAGAATTCTACAGACAACTACAGGCAACAATGGACAATACTCCAGCTGGCGACATTAAAATACTAATTGGAGACATGAACGCCAAACTAGGACCAGACAATACAGGAAGGGAACTCATCATGGGTAGAGAAGCTCTCGGAGAAATGAATGAAAACGGAGAACTCTTCGCCTACTTCTGCGCCTTCAACGAACTAGTGATTGGTGGCAGTGTATACAAGCACAAAGATATCCACAAGGCTACATGGGTGTCACCAGATGGGAGAGCCGTAAACCACATTGACTTCATCTCAATCTCAAGGAAGTGGAGACACAGCCTACTGGACACAAAAGTAAGAAGAGGAGCAGACGTTGGCTCAGACCACTATCTCGTACAAGGGACAATCCAAATCAAATTAAAAGCTTTCAGGGAAACAGGAGCTGCAGATAGACCACAAGCCAAGTTCAGCACTCAGAAGCTGAAGGACCAGGCTACAAAGGACATCTTCATTGCAAACATAAGGGAAAAAGCCGAGACACAAATCAACACCAGCGAAAAGGTCAGCGTCGAAAAGCACTGGAACAACTTGAAAACGGTGTGGAGTCAAACCTGCATGGAAGTTCTAGGCAGAAAGAAGAGGCAGGACAAACAGTGGCTCACTACGGACACTTGAAAACTAATAGAAGAGAGAAGGACAGTGAAACAAAAGATTATCCAGTGCACTGACGAGCAACAAAAACAGGAGTTGAATGCAAGCTACAATACACTGAACAAAAGAGTAAAGAAGAGTGCCAGGGAAGACAAAAGAAAGTATTATGAAACCATGGCAAGTGAAGCAGAACAAGCTGCAGGCAAAGGAGACCTCGCCACACTGGAGACCACTACTGGAGAAGGTGTGGAAAGAGGGCAAAGTACCCGAGGATTGGAAGAACGGATACTTATTCAAACTACCAAAGAAAGGAGACTTAAGTCAATGTAAAAACTGGCGTGGAATTATGCTTCTGTCCATTCCAAGCAAAATACTAAGCCCCATCATCCTGGTGAGAATCAAACAAGCCCTAGATGAAAAACTTCGACCGGAACAGGCCGGATTCAGGAGAAACAAATCATATATTGATCAAATCGCCACTCTACGGGTCATTATTGAACAAAGCTTAGAATGGCAGTCACCTCTCTATCTCAACTTCATCGACTTTGAAAAGGCAGCGTCGATCGAGAGGTCATCTGGCAACTACTTCGCTACTATGGGGCACCATCGACAATTATACATCTCATCCAACAGTTATACGACAATGCTGCATGCCAAGTAATCCACAACGGGAAACTTACGGAAGCCTTCGAAGTAAAGACGGGAGTGCGACAAGGCTGTCTACTATCACCAATGATCTTCCTGATTGCAGTTGATTGGATAATGCGACAGACAACGGCAACCAACGAGGGAACAGGCATAAAATGGACTGACACAAAAGACTTGGAGGATATGGACTTCGCCCATGATTTCCCACAAACTGGAAGATATGCAAGTGAAAAGCAACAAGTTGGCAGAAGAAACATCAAAGATAGGACTTCAAGTGAACATAGATAAAACAGAGGTGATGAAGATTCCTGGCCAACAACAACAACAACAGACAACAATCAGCATAAATTGGAGGAACCTAAGAGAAACAACCTCCTTCACCTACCTGGGAAGCATCGAATCAACTACAGGCGGAACTGACGAGGACATCAAAGCCAGAATCGGAAAAGCAAGACTAGCTTTCATTACTCTCAAATCTGTGTGGAGGTCAACAGCACTCAGCATCAAAAATAAGATTCGGATTTTCAACTCCAATGTAAAGTCAGTGCTACTATACGGATCAGAGACTTGGCGAGTCATAAAGAGCATCTCAAACAAACTTCAGACCTTCATTAACAGCTGTCTCCGCTCAATACTCAAGATCAGATGGCCAGAAAAGATTAGCAACAGGGATCACTGAGAGCGAACCAACCCAGCAGGAACCGATTGTGGAACAAATAGGCAGGAAGAAATGGAGATGGCTTGGCCATACTCTGAGGAAACCATCAAGTGACATCACTAGACAAGCCCTCGAGTGGAACCCGAAAGGGAGGTGGCGAGTTGGTCGTCCAAGGGTGACTTGGAGGAGGTCTTGTGAGGAGGAGATGAAAGCATATGGATAGACCTGGAGCGGGATGAAAAAGTTGTCAGAAAACAGAAGGCAATGGAGGTGCTCAGCTGAAGCCCTATGTTCCTCTAGGAGCTAAAGGATACAATAGTAATAATAATAATCAAGTTACCTGTAGTTCCTAGACAGTAATATGCATATATGTTTTGTACTGGCTAACAATACTAAGTGGTTGCCCACAGAAGTGAATGAGGTGAATTTTGGCTCTATGATCCTGTATTTTCAACTTAGATATCCAAACAAATTGATCATGGGTGATAAGTTATGTCTGATTATATTTCATCTGCTACGCATATTTTAGCTATAAATTTCAGTTCATTACGTCTCTTTGTTACACCGTTTAATTTCTGTGTTTATTCTTGTAGTATAATGAAAGACCATAAACTATTTCTATCAAGTAAACAGTGTAATTGAAAGAGTCCAAATATCTAATCCCGTTGCTATCGCAAATCAATGTGGTTATTCGGCGAATCCTGATAAATTATTTTGCAATAATGACAACGTAGAAGTGACATTACTCGTTTGGAATATTGACTATGTAGTGATACTTAAGATACATGTACCATTATTGCTTTGCTGTTTCTCGTCTGATTAGTTTGAAGTTTCTACGTTGCTTGACAAGTTTTATTTAAAAGTACGACTGTAGTTCATCAATGTAGACACTTGATTTTTGACCACTTAATGCCTTATTCACATTTAATCATAGTTGCTAAGTCTTTTTTCTATCCACCAAAGATTAGTTAGCAAAATGGTATTGTTCAGTGCACACATAACAGGTGTTAGATATGGTATATGAACCGACATTTGGCTACTGAATTTGATTATTTACTAATACAGGTTGTACTTATCTTATTATAATATAATTCTGTAGGCATGAATTACAAATGAAGCAGTTAAATATTGTATTTTAATTTCTTTGCTCAATCTTCGCAAATGGCGAATAGTTTTGAAATTTTGTGCTTTCTAATGTAATTTTGTATTCTGCATATGTTAGCTATCTGACCACTGTCACACTTTATATGGTAAAAATGAAATTTTAGAGAATAAATGAGTTTCTTGTGAGATTTAACTGTAGTTACCAAGCATAGAAAGTTAGAATTCATTGAAGTAATGACCAATTAATGTTATTGTATCCCATTTCATGATTCTAAGGGGATGAATAAAACCTCGCATTGTGTTAAAAAGGCATGGTATGTTTTGCAGCTTTGTTTACCACAAAAGATAATTTTTTCCTTCACGTTCCCCAGTGGAACATAGGGCTTCAAGCTAGTGGCTTGAAGTTTCTGTGGCAGTGTTTATTTTACGGAATGGGGTCGCCAGTCTCATACCCAACCTTTCCTCTATACCAGCATTATTCCTGGCTCAGCGAGGTAAAGGAGTGCATCGGCCGGGGATCGAATCCCGGAACATGTTCATGGTCGGCGAGCGTTCTTACCGCTATACCACCGACACACAAAAGATAATGCTTTTCCATAATTCAGAGTTTTAATTAGTAAGTAATCATTGCTCTCTGTCTTTGTTTTTGTTTCTGCCAATAGGTTCTTTAGCTCATTCTGTTAGTGATCCTTATGTCTTACTGGCTGGAGCTAGTGGAGGGTGCTATGCACTTATTGGCGCACATTTGGCTACTGTAATAATGGTGTGTTAATTCCTCATTTCACACTGTTCAGTGTGTTATTTTCAGTTCTTTATGTTTAACAATTTGGCATCTTAGTTTAATGTTTTATAGTTGCTGTTATATCGTGTATAAATAAACAGTGTTGAGTTAAAATTTAGAATCTGGCTAATAATAGCTTTCATCACTACACTTGCTAGAAACAACTCAGTCATTATGCTAAACATGGGATAGTTTATGTTTTCCACCATTTATGTTTTAACTTCTACTATTTACAGTATGTATATTCCTGGTTGAACTTATCATTCTGGTGTTATTTTTTATCAGCTTTTTTAAAATACAAGTTAAACAAGTTAAACGTACTGTGCAGAAGTTATACATTTACTCCCGAATTTTCGCTTCTGGTTATTAGATATATTTTCAAGTGTTATTTTGCAGAGATTTGATTAATTACAAGCTAGATCATGAACTGACACCAGTTAGAGTTCCCCTGAAAACCATTACGAAGTACTGGACAGATATTTCGTCCTATTTTGGAACTTTTCAGCGGGACTCACTCATGACTCCCAGGGGATACTGAATCCAGGACCTTCGGACTACGTGTCTAGACCGGTGACCATTTAGCCACTGGAACAGAATCTAGTGGTCAATGAATTTAAACTTTTGCCAATTTGTGATATAAAGCACCTAATATCAGCCTACTTTCAAACATTTTGTACCCTTATTATCATTCTTAATGCTTCATTTCAGTACTTTTATATACTTTATCTGACGTTCGTACGGTAATTTGGATGCGAGATGTGACTTCATTTTTGTTTGTTTATAAGTAATTGATCCTCTCCTCGCGAGGAGTAAAGTAGGAGAATATGCTGTTAAGTAAAATGCTACCATTACATCAGGGGTAAATGGAGATGCTTTATTTTCAGTCTTCCTATGCTACCTAAAAGTTTCAGTGTTATGCCTCTGTTATTTGAATTACAATCTCTATGTATAATTGTATTATTTCTTGCGTTTCTTGTGTTACAGAACTGGAATTTAATGCAAGAAGGATGGCTTAAGGATCCTTTAAACTTTGTATCTAGTGGTGTCGTGAGACTTATTCTAATCATACTATTAGGTGAGTCATAATTAAATAAATAATCATGCTTTTTAAACCCACAGCGTTCATATACTATGTGGCCCTGGTTGCAGTAGACCAAAAAGCTAGTTTATCCACATATTGGAATTATGTTATTTTAATTTTATTTCTCCTTCGCTTGTAGTATTTTTTTGCTTTTCAAGCACGTGATTAAATATCTTATCTTTTTCATTTTTATTTATTTATTTATTTAAACGCATAAAAAATAAACTTGGTGCAATATGGCACCAAGAAGGATGTGCCACACAGTAATAATAAAACAACATAGATCAAAAGAAAAAAAGAAAGAAGAGAAATATATATATATACATAAGTAAAGAACGGATAAAGAACTTCATCTGGAAGGAAAACACTCACGCTTAACAAGTTCAAACAGTGTTCGTTAACAATCATCGGAAAGGGAAGAAAGAGGGAAATTGCAACACGTTCGCCATTGATTACGATTCCTGGCCATATCCGATAACGTTTCGAGCCATCGATTTGAGCTATCTCTCGGACCCCAACCAGGGATTCGTGACACACCAACCGATGCTAATCTAGCACAAAAATCCTTCATCCCACGACGCCACGTCATGGACTGACCACCTCTCCGCCTTTTCCATCCCGTCCCAGGGCTAGCGAACAGACACCTGTACGGAAGGCTCTGGAATGACATTCGCAGCACATGTCCAAGCCACCGGAGCCGGTGTTTCCAGATGACGACACTCAATGAATGGTGATCTCCACTGTGTTCAAACACACGCCTCCGAACCCCAGAATTACGCATGCAATGATGCCATCGAACGCAAGCAATCCTGCGGAGACAGCGATGATCGAACACGCAGAGTCACCGAACATCCTCGGCTCGGAGAGGCCAGGTTTCACATGCATGGAGCAGGGCACACCGCACCGAAGCATTGTATACCCAACTTTTGACAGCCAGGCTAACGTCGCGACGGCGCCATAGGTGGCTCAAGTTGATGTATGCCACCCTAGCCTTCATTATACGGTTGGAAATCTCATCCGTCACCCCTCCTCCAGCACTCACACAACTACCCAGATACACAAACTTATCAACAACTTCAAGCGGTTCACCCGCAAGAGTGAGTGCAGGTACAGACTCCTGCCAATCTTGTAACAGTACTTTGCACTTAGACGGCGCAAAGCACATACCATACTTACAGACACTGATCGCCAACTGATTAAGTGTGATTTGGGCAGCCTGCATGCTATCGCACAGTAAGACGATATCGTCTGCACACTTAAGGTCGAAAAGTCTGTCTCCAGGTAGCAGATCTACACCACCTTCACGCACATCCTTCAGAGCTGACTCCAGAATGTCATCGATGGCAAAGTTAAAGAGAAATGGAGAGATTGGGCAACCCTGTCTAACCCCACTGTTGGTTGGGAACAGTGGTGATAGTTGGTTGTATGCCCTCACTCTACCTGAGGTGTTTCTGTATAGGGCTTTCAAGATGTTAACAAATTTCTCAGGTACACCTCTCTCAAACAGACAGTTCCAGAGCACAGTTCTGTCCAACGAATCGAAGGCAGCCCTAATATCAAGAAACACAACGATCGTTGGCCTGCAATACGTGTGGCGGTGTTCCAACAACTGACGAAGGGTGAACATATGATCAATGCATCCACGACCTGAACGAAACCCAGCCTGCTCTTCGCGAATCAATCCTTCACGTATTTTGCACAGTCTGAGAAGCAAGACAGCAGCCAATATTTTAGACGCGACTGGTAACAGACTGATACCCCTATGATTGTCACACGAATTACGTCGACCCTTTTTAAAGATGGGGACGATAATGGCTTCGTTCCACATTGATGGTACACTCTCTGTCTCCCACACCTTCCTGAACAACCCAGTTAGAGCCATTGTGGGAGTCTCGCCACCATCTTTAAAAAGAGCCGGGGGTAATTTGTGTGGGCCGGGCGCCTTATGGCGTTTCAACATTTGGGGGTTCCTTACGGACCTCCGCTTCGGTGGGTGGGTCGGTACTAACCGACCAAGGAGCACTCGGGCTAATGATAGTAGACACTGAAGCTGGTGGCCAGCTAAACTGCTTCCCGAAGTGCTCTGCCCAGCGTTCCAGGCGTCTTTTCAGGCTGGTAATTGGAGTGCCATCTGCCTCACAGACCGTCTCGCTGACACCTTGTTTCTTGGTACTGGTGGCTCGGATGAGTTGGAACAGCTTCCGACTGTTGCCAGATGCAGCAGCTGACTCCATCTCACACGCACGTTCTGACCACCAGGCTTCGCGGTCCTTACGTAAACACTGTCTAATCTTGCGCGTGAGCGCCTTTCGCTGATTGTTGTATTCGCTGCCAGCCGGAATGGACCGGCGTTCATCCAGGAGTTGCAAGGAACTCGCAGAAACCCAGTGGTTTTTAGCAGAGCATTCTTTCAAGCCGCAAGCGGCTACACTCGCCTTTTGCATGGCACCTTGCACATGAAGCCAATGTTCATCTATACTACTTGGGAGGTTGCTGGCAAGCATTGATTGTAACTCATTCTGATATTTCAAAGAAGTAGCAGGTGCTACTAGTTTGCTCACATCAACGTTTAGACGACGGCTTTTATGAACCCCACCAAATCGCAAGACGAACTTGGCACACACTAACGCATGATCGGAGTCCAGGCATGTGCTCCAGAAGGAGCGACAGTCTTGTATGCATCCTAGCCACCGGAAACTGACCGCAATATGATCAATCTGAGTCCAAGCTTGCTTCGCAGAGGGAGGACGCCAGGTAGCGCTACGGCGATGGCTGTGCCGGAAGTTGGTGCTGGCTAGAAATAGGTTGTGATCCGCGCAAAGCTGCAGAAGACGGTCCCCATTATCTGACCTGCGACCATGTAGGCCCCACCGACCACCTAGACGATTCTCCTCTGAGCTTAGACGCCCGACCTGTGCATTCAAGTCCCCAGCCAGCACTACGATATCCCTCCGACCCGCCTGTTTCAAGAGATCACTGAGTTGGTAGTAGAACTCATCCTTCATTGCATCCGGGCTGCAATCCGTCGCTGCATAGGCAGAGACAACAAATAGACACCGCCTATCTGGCCTACTACTCCTTACTTTTGTATAACCTTTCAGCCTCACAGCACATAAACGACTGTTAATGAAAATCCAGTCGAGCAATGCAGCTTCGGCTCTAGCGCTCAGTGCAATACTGACACCAGCTACGCCGGATGCCGACGCCACAGGGTTCCCGGATAAGCGCAGGTGGTACATACTGCTAGTACTTCCAGATGGAGAGGATAGTCGAGGCACTTCACTGAGATCTTGAATGCGGGTCTCCGGAATGCAGCATACATCGATAGCGAGGCTTTCCAAAGTTCTTACCAACCCTGCCTGTTGTCCGATTTGCATCAGCGTCCGAACAATGTAGGTGGCCAGCTTGAACGTGGCACGCGGTTTCAGGATATCTGTGTTAGATGTCACATTGGGGACAACCATTTTGAGGACTACTCACTTGCATCTCAAAATGACACAGATAGCCTGGGAATCTAGACAAAGGCGAAAGGCTGTTGAAGGTTAAGAAGTCAAGTTTAGCAAAGGTAAAGTACAGGAAACTATGTATAAAAATAAAAGTAGGGTAGGAAGGACACAACTTACTTGAGGCATCAATATTACTTGAAATCATTGTGTAATAGCGCGCGATAAGTTTCATTGATAGTTTGTTGTTCCACTTGATTTATTGTGTGGCGGCTGAGATACTGCTCGGGCGCCAAGACAGAAGCAGGTGGTTTTATTAAGGGACCACTCCCTGAGTTTTTGACTTGGAGTCTAATCCACAAGGCAGCGGAGCAGCGTCAGGAGCTGCACCCCCATGGTTGCCGGTGACCCATATGGGTTCATACGCCATTTGTTCCGATTGGATAATGAAGTCCATGTACCCCATGGTTACTGCTTTTAGTTTAACTGCTATCCACACAAGCTTCCTGACATGGTAGGACCTGCAGGGACATGAGTCCCAGTCAGCTTAGCTTGTTGGGTCATTATGGTATTCAAGCCCGACCACCACGACAAGGTAGCAGTTATCGGCCGGGGCTTAAAGGTGTTGATTCGGTTTTAATCTTGACTGACCTGTTGTTTCCACAAAATTAAGACTGGAGTGATATTCTGTCTACCCAACAAAGATTATCTTAGATTATTCCATCAACAGTTAATAACATCTGAGTGATATGGTATTGAAAGGATAAAATTCAATAAAGTTCATTTGACTTCGCTGTTTTTAAATACTTTCCAAAGGAAAACATATTCATTTGTTGAAGTAATTCAGTTGCACAGTTTTTGTAAGCTAAATTTATAAAAAGTTGTGTTGCATGAGGTTGTAAGCATCAGTAAATGTAACTAAATTTTTAGTGTATAACTGCAGTAAACATGTTACACTACTGAGGAAATTGACAATCCATTCAGTTTACATATATACAACATAATATAAGTCTAAGTAGCACTATGACACCAATTTAAATTACTGTAGTTAATTAATGAGGTCCATTAGCCACCACACATACATGGATGTGGTCAACCCATCGTTGCATAAGCTTAACTAATGTTTACGAACGCCTTCAGGATGTTACACACTTTTGAATAGGTGTGAATTTATGGTTTGGGTAAATGTATGTAAATATGCTTCTTATTTCTTTGAGTACCTGCTTAATAATTAATTGCGTATGGTTTAACAGTATATTTTTTGAATGTATTTTTCTAGTGAACTGTTACATAATGTATTAGTCCTTTTCATGTCAGCTTAAATTCTGATTAGATCATTCAAAGTGGTAATGATGCATAAGGTCAGGGTGTGGGGAAATTAAGAGCTCAAATTGTGAGAAAATGTATAAATATACATGTATCATTATAACTGACTGTGTATGTAATTCTTTAGTGTCTAGGTGTTCATTCCGTTTGATATCCAGAATTTATGGAATAAATCAGTAAAACACATGTTATGTCACTGACCTTCTAAACAGTCATATTTGTAATGACTGATCATTTAGGGTTCAATTATCATCCTGGAACAAAAACTTAAAAATACATAACTAGTAGTTTTGTATAATGTAGGTGTGATAAGTTCATTTTCTTAAGATATATTGAGGTGCAGATTATTGGTCTACAAACTCAGCTTTAAACGAGAAGGTAATAGCTTCAAACCATGTCTGAAACAATTAAGCTTTTGATTGCTAATTATAATTTCTTGTAAGCTGCATCAACATGTACCAAGTTGCTGCGTTACACTTCAATTTCCTGACATTTATTAACCGAAAAGGTCTCATGAGGTTGCGAAACATAAGTTGACTGTTATTTCTCGTTTGGACTTGTATATAACTTCTGTTGTATGAAGTTTGACTCGTTTATAAACAACCAAATAATAAATTTACTGTAGTTTTTAAATTGTAATTAATTGCATTTATGAAATGTGACTGAAAAACCATATGTATTTGATAAAACAGTCTTTTGGATGTACCATGTTGTTCAGGAAGCGGCAATAAAGTAAATAACCCCAAATAATTATCAGTTATTATTCGATTATACTGGCACAATTCAGAGATTACTGATTTTTTAAGCGTGTTTCATTTCATTCAGGTGATATTTATTTACCTGAAATAAATATATGTGGGGTTTCATTCATACTACTACTACTACTACACTACTACTACTATTGCTGTTACTATATAGGCTGTTCAAACAGTTATAATTTAATTGAGTAATCATCATGCATATGCTACGTGGTGAAACGTGGTGAAAAAAGAATTGAAAACTGAGGTCGAAATTCATTGACTGTATTTCTATATTGATTTTCTATGAATTATTAGTGCTTTTGTAACCCGAATATAGTAGCAATCCACGTTTTCACCTCATTTTTAATCGCTTATTTTCCTCATTTACAGAGGGACTTGGATAATTGTCTCGTTGTTAAGGTCGAATTAGGTTTAATAGGCTTTAAATGATCAAATTGGGAAAGAGCACACGGGAACAGAAACTAATTAGCCACAAGTTAACAAAAGGACATACAATATCATTGGTAAAATAGTGGTTTACATCCTTTGTATAATATCCATTTGAATATTATACTGATTACATCTCTCAGTCTAAGAGTATGCACGTCTGTTGAAGTTAAAATTAACATTTCAGGGTGGTGTTTGCTTGTCTTTCCGAACTACTTATGCATATTTTTTATGGAATATTTGTATTATTATTTCCGGCCATCAAAATAATGACCACTGGTACCTGTTACATGATGTCCTGGTTATCACGATCGCAAATGTATTATGACTACTAACGTGTCTGTGTTGCCCCCCGAAATATTCATATGATACGGGCTATATCTTATATTTTCTGCACAAAGACTATATATATATATATAGATGTTTCTTTGCAGATGTCTGTGTTAGAATTTTCATTTACGTCTTACTCAGTTGCTTTATTTTAGCAGTGTGCTGTTTATCCATAGTACGTAGTTGTGGTTTTCGACGATCTGTTTGCATTCCACAAGAAGCGTACTTTGTGCATACATTTTAAAATACTGTCGATAACATTCGATAATTATAATAATTATTATTATTGTATCCTTTAGTTCCTAGAGGAACATAGGGCTTCAGCTGAGCACCTCCATTGCCTTCGGTTTTCTGACAACTTTTTCACCCTGCTCCAGGTCTGTCCACATGCTTTCATCTCCTCCTCACAAGACCTCCTCCAAGTCACCCTTGGACGACCAACTCGCCACCTCCCTTTCGGGTTCCACTCGAGGGCTTGTCTAGTGATGTCACTTGATGGTTTCCTCAGAGTATGGCCAAGCCATCTCCATTTCTTCCTGCCTATTTGTTCCACAATCGGTTCCTGCTGGGTTGGTTCGCTCTCAGTGATCCCTGTTGCTAATCTTTTCTGGCCATCTGATCTTGAGTATTGAGCGGAGACAGCTGTTAATGAAGGTTTGAAGTTTGTTTGAGATGCTCTTTATAACTCGCCAAGTCTCTGATCCGTATAGTAGCACTGACTTTACATTGGAGTTGAAAATCCGAATCTTATTTTTGATGCTGAGTGCTGTTGACCTCCACACAGATTTGAGAGTAATGAAAGCTTGTCTTGCTTTTCCGATTCTGGCTTTGATGTCCTCGTCAGTTCCGCCTGTAGTTGATTCGATGCTTCCCAGGTAGGTGAAGGAGGTTGTTTCTTTCAGGTTCTTCCCACTTATGCTGATTGTTATAACAAGTTTAGACTTTATTGCAAATACCTTATGTTTCGCAAGACTAGGACTGGCGTTCAGCAAGCGGATGAATAGAAGTAGTTATCGTTGAGGTTTTAATAAAGGTTATGTTTCTTTTAAAGTATGTGTTCTAGTGACTGAATTTTGCATACATTTTGTTTCATGACATAAAACTTTCTTATTGCTTTGTACCCATATATAAGGTGGTGGTGATACAGGATTAGCTATTTATGCCCGATTTACAAATCCGAATCAGCAAACGCGCGTTGGATTTTCGGCTCATTTAGGAGGTTTTGTTGCAGGTTAGTCAAGAGATGTTTTTTCTTTCATCTGTTGTTCCTTTTTATTGTGAGTGATATGTTTTCCGTCTTCCGTTTAGTTTTTTAGACTGTTATGAACCATTAACTAGTGATTCTGCACGAATTTCGTTGGCACTTGACCGTGATGCTATCAGTTTATTTTCAGGAACTTACTTATGATCACTTCATATTTTAAAATGATTACGTTATATAACTAAAGTCTTCACCTAATAAGCATTTTTTCGGACAAATTTCTTTCTCGATTCATAATCTTAGGAATTCAAGGATTAATTGCTTTTTACTGAAAAGGAAAACTGATTAGACAACTGCTGCGAATGATAATATTTTTTTGTTTAAATGTTTAATATATTGGTTTGGGAAAGGGGTGGATTCACCACCAGAATGATGATATGGTAATAGGGTGTTATTCGAAATATCAATTGTATTTAAAGCGGAGGTGCTAGTGTTGTTATTTGACGTTCCGCTGTTTATCTACCAGTTTCAGTTCCGCTTCACCTCACTTTTGGCAGCTGAATGACATCTTCAGTCTGTAATATGCATGTGATTTAAATTATAATTCTGGAATACGATTTTAGTTATTGACTGGTGTGTACTACAGAAAGTGAACCAACTTTTTTCTCATTGCGAGGTATCATCTAAATCAGGATTGAATTACAATGAAATGTATTCGATTGGGATGTCGTAACTGATTTACTACTAAGAATTATCTAGGAATTTGGATTTCCTCACTTAATAGCTGGGCATTTCAACACATATTCTCAATACTTTTCATGATCATCTACACTCTCATAAGGGATGTTACGAAGGTGACGGTGGTCAGATATTTAAATTCTTCTTTCTCCAACTTTCAGTGTCCGTGTTTAACTGTTGTGTGGTGAAACAGCGGTGTGATGAGTCCATAATAGATATTCAGGTATGCCACTGGCACTATAAGTTGTGTCAGTAGGCTGAATGCAGTCTAACTCCCTTCTCAGCAATATACACCCTGAAATTCATTATAGAGCACTGGTTTGTTAGACATGTTGACAAAGAATTCAGTGAGTTGAAAACCAGTGGTTCATATAATTAATATTCACAACATAAGGTTAGTGCGTATCTTAAAAAGTAGTTGTCTTAGTTGTTGTCTTAAACGTATACTTTCGCATTTACACCGTTGTTCGATAATTTATTTGCAATATATTTTAAATTGAATGTAACACAAGAAATTATTCATGTATTTTGATCCCAATAAACTATGCGTCGGTGGCACAGTGGTCAGGACTCTTGCCGACCATGCACATGGTCCGACGTTCGATTGCCTGCCGACGCGCACCTGATATCTATGGTCGGCCTGAAAAATTTGGGCTACCGATATCACATGCTGAAAATTCCATATATGTACCAAAAATACGGTGTGGAATCAAGCTGTAATCAAAAAATTATCAACGAAGAATTGTGCATACAAGTTCAACAGTTCGAATGGCTACACATCTTTAAAGCATTCACAAAGATAGAGGAAAGATATGCAATGAAACTACATGTTAGGACAGAAGACATATTGTGCCTCATTGTTCACGTAACCTACAAACCAGATATTTGAACCTAAATTCGTAGATTAAAGGTCAGATCAATGGATTTTTACTGATACATGCTGACCAGCTAAAACTTAGCCTTCACATCTTAAAATAGTAACTTGTTGGTTATGTAAAATAACTATGTATAAATAATTGTGGTTTCTAGCGAGACTGCTTTTTGCATCGAGAAATGAATCTCGCCTTCTCCTTGTCTGTTTCCTATGTTGAAAACTGACAGACAGACTTGCAGAAAAAGCAGTTGTATTTTGTTGTTATCTACTGTTACAGTAACACAATAGATGAAAATTTGTGATAGAATGAATAATTGGATGAAGAATAGTGTAGGTCTTGTGTATCTCAAAGATCACAAGGAGTATGCCACATGACATATGGTGCTCAACCATTGATTCTTAACATTTTGAGGACCCTAACCTGACAGTGTACACCTTCCTACATAGTTCAGACTAATAGTCAAGAATTAAACAGATTGGAGGCATTCGGTCTGCCGACCCCTAAGTATTTCCTAACTTAGTTCTATTTCAGTTGACATCGTTCGTCGAGAAAGGCGGTTGTTAGACATACGTTAATGCATTTTCGATAAAGCGTCATGACTTCATCGTTTGATCTTTGGTCCTTTCCCAAATTCAAAATCGCCAACTGTATTATGCCATCTTTGGAGAGAAATTGAACTTAGACACCTTTTGTCGAAAACCAATAATCTTTTCATAACTCCCACCCCCAACAAAAGGGTTCAAGTTGGCTGATGCAGAAAATTTTACTTACAAGCGAGTTTTTTCTTTGTTCACTTTCTCGTTTCTACCTACAAAATACGTGTAAGTTATCTACATATTAGCACCTTTAAATAGTTAGATTTAAATTAAAGTCGAAAAAATGGGTATAAAATGTTATAAAGGTTGAAAATATAGGTGGTTACATAAGAAGCTTCAAAATGTATCTGGAAGTCGAGATGGTGGTCATATACTAAAAAATGTAGCGTGTAGAAAAATATTCACAGAAGATATTAGTGACAATAACTACAAAAACTGACACAGTTTGTATTCAGTCTGTTCGTTGGTGATACAGTGGTTAGGACTCTCGCCATGGTTGGAGGTTCGATCGCCTGCCGACGCACACCTTATATCTATGGTCGGCCTGCAAAATTTGGGCTACCGATATCACATGTTGAAAATTCCATACTTGTACCAAAAATACGGCGTGGAAACAAGTTGCAATCAAAAAATTTTTACATCATTTGGTCAGTGTCAGCAGTCACTAGGTGAAACGATGTCTTTCTTATGTTATAGATCAGTGTCATTCAGAAGTATCTGGTTATATAAACAGAATTGTAAAAGACAGTCATCCCAGTTGGTTCATGAATATGTGTCTTCATAGGGAATCTCCAGTGTACTTTACGAACTGGCGCAACTTTCTTACTTAAGCATTATAATCTCTTGCTAAGATGAACGGTCTGCTTTCAGCAACGCGTTAGACAGATTTGGATGAAATTCATCCTTTAATTTATCCGTACAGTTGGAAAGCTGTAATTAATCTAGATGCTGTGTCGTAGTTATCAGGGTAGTTAATGTTGTTATTATTATTATTGTATCCTTTAGCTCCTAGAGGAACATAGGGCTTCAGCTGAGCACCTCCATTGCCTTCTGTTTTCTGACAACTTTTTCATCCCGCTCCAGGTCTATCCATATGCTTTCATCTCCTCCTCACAAGACCTCCTCCAAGCCACCCTTGGACGACCAACTCGCCACCTCCCTTTCGGGTTCCACTCGAGGGCTTGTCTAGTGATGTCACTTGATGGTTTCCTCAGAGTATGGCCAAGCCATCTCCATTTCTTCCTGCCTATTTGTTCCACAATCGGTTCCTGCTGGGTTGGTTCGCTCTCAGTGATCCCTGTTGCTAATCTTTTCTGGCCATCTGATCTTGAGTATTGAGCGGAGACAGCTGTTAATGAAGGTCTGAAGTTTGTTTGAGATGCTCTTTATGACTCGCCAAGTCTCTGATCCGTATAGTAGCACTGACTTTACATTGGAGTTGAAAATCCGAATCTTATTTTTGATGCTGAGTGCTGTTGACCTCCACACAGATTTGAGAGTAATGAAAGCTTGTCTTGCTTTTCCGATTCTGGCTTTGATGTCCTCGTCAGTTCCGCCTGTAGTTGATTCGATGCTTCCCAGGTAGGTGAAGGAGGTTGTTTCTCTTAGGTTCCTCCAATTTATGCTGATTGTTGTCTGTTGTTGTTGTTGTTGGCCAGGAATCTTCATCACCTCTGTTTTATCTATGTTCACTTGAAGTCCTATCTTTGATGTTTCTTCTGCCAACTTGTTGCTTTTCACTTGCATATCTTCCAGTTTGTGGGAAATCATGGGCGAAGTCCATATCCTCCAAGTCTTTTGTGTCAGTCCATTTTATGCCTGTTCCCTCGTTGGTTGCCGTTGTCTGTCGCATTATCCAATCAACTGCAATCAGGAAGATCATTGGTGATAGTAGACAGCCTTGTCGCACTCCCGTCTTTACTTCGAAGGCTTCCGTAAGTTTCCCGTTGTGGATTACTTGGCATGCAGCATTGTCGTATAACTGTTGGATGAGATGTATAATTGTCGATGGTGCCCCATAGTAGCGAAGTAGTTGCCAGATGACCTCTCGATCGACGCTGCCTTTTCAAAGTCGATGAAGTTGAGATAGAGAGGTGACTGCCATTCTAAGCTTTGTTCAATAATGACCCGTAGAGTGGCGATTTGATCAATATATGATTTGTTTCTCCTGAATCCGGCCTGTTCCGGTCGAAGTTTTTCATCTAGGGCTTGTTTGATTCTCACCAGGATGATGGGGCTTAGTATTTTGCTTGGAATGGACAGAAGCATAATTCCACGCCAGTTTTTACATTGACTTAAGTCTCCTTTCTTTGGTAGTTTGAATAAGTATCCGTTCTTCCAATCCTCGGGTACTTTGCCCTCTTTCCACACCTTCTCCAGTAGTGGTCTCCAGTGTGGCGAGGTCTCCTTTGCCTGCAGCTTGTTCTGCTTCACTTGCCATGGTTTCATAATACTTTCTTTTGTCTTCCCTGGCACTCTTCTTTACTCTTTTGTTCAGTGTATTGTAGCTTGCATTCAACTCCTGTTTTTGTTGCTCGTCAGTGCACTGGATAATCTTTTGTTTCACTGTCCTTCTCTCTTCTATTAGTTTTCAAGTGTCCGTAGTGAGCCACTGTTTGTCCTGCCTCTTCTTTCTGCCTAGAACTTCCATGCAGGTTTGACTCCACACCGTTTTCAAGTTGTTCCAGTGCTTTTCGACGCTGACCTTTTCGCTGGTGTTGATTTGTGTCTCGGCTTTTTCCCTTATGTTTGCAATGAAGATGTCCTTTGTAGCCTGGTCCTTCAGCTTCTGAGTGCTGAACTTGGCTTGTGGTCTATCTGCAGCTCCTGTTTCCCTGAAAGCTTTTAATTTGATTTGGATTGTCCCTTGTACGAGATAGTGGTCTGAGCCAACGTCTGCTCCTCTTCTTACTTTTGTGTCCAGTAGGCTGTGTCTCCACTTCCTTGAGATTGAGATGAAGTCAATGTGGTTTACGGCTCTCCCATCTGGTGACACCCATGTAGCCTTGTGGATATCTTTGTGCTTGTATACACTGCCACCAATCACTAGTTCGTTGAAGGCGCAGAAGTCGGCGAAGAGTTCTCCGTTTTCATTCATTTCTCCGAGAGCTTCTCTACCCATGATGAGTTCCCTTCCTGTGTTGTCGAGTCCCAGTTTGGCGTTCATGTCTCCCATTAGTGTTTTAATGTCGCCAGCTGGAGTATTGTCCATTGTTGCCTGTAGTTGTCTGTAGAATTCTCCTTTCTTTTCGAGGTCTGCGTTGTTTATGGGTGCATAACATTGTATGATTGACACTTTCCTTCGTTTGGAGTTAAATCTGGCGGTCATTATCCTGGACGAGATCGCCTCTCATTGCATCAGGGCTTTTGTTGCCGTTGGTGACATCATGATAGCCACGCCCTCGGTATGCGTGTGAATATCTTCTGGGTAACTGGAGTAGATCACTGACTTACCCGTTGATAATTTGGTGAGTCCACTCCCATTCCATCTGCTTTCACATATTCCCAGTACTTGGATTCCGTATCTTTTCATCTCGTTGGCGATTTGGGCAGTTTTGCCAGTCTCGTATATAGTTCGGACGTTCCATGTCCCCACACAGACTTTTTCTTTTGGTGCAAAGAGATTCATCGTGCTGAAGTTTCTGTAGCAATTTTGTTTACAGGGTGGGGTTGGGTTGCTAGCCTCACGCCTGAGAAGGAAATGGTTACATTAAGATAAAGTTTAGAGAGAAGCGATCTTTCGGGCTGCTCCCCTTAAATTCAGATAACACGGGATAAAACAATGAGAACAACACCAGCAAAAGGAAAGCAATTCAGAGCAAAACAGGCAAAAAGCGACAACAACGATACAATAAAACAACATGCAATATAGTTCAGTACAGTTACCTAAAATGATACCAAAACCTTAGACTCACTGATTTGGGCCAACTTGAACATATAAATCCAAGAATATATACAATTATAGATATGAGTTATTGGTAAAAGACACAAATGTCCAAAAACTTTGGTATAGGTATTAGTAGTCAATGATAGTATATCCAGAGTTTAAGCGTTCGAAAGTTAACGGAATGCCATAATTTTCAGAACTTCGTGGTAAGCAGTAACAAAGAAATGAGAGTTTTATATATTACAGCAAAAAGTAACGCAGTGATCAAAAAGCGCGTCGTTAATATTGTTAGTTGCATAATAAGACTGTTGTCTTTATTTTTTTAAAATAGTATGTTTTAAACCTTTGTTTTGGGGTCCTCTTTTTTGTCAACCCACTGGGCTTCTATTCTCTGGCTACGAGGGAGAATGCATAGTAGTTGACCGGAAATTTTGCTTTTACTAAATGTCTTAAGTATTTTAACGTAAATTAATTACGATACGTATTTAGCCTTTCTCGTGAATATGAGTTTGTTTTGGTCTTTTTCTTATCTATAGGTCTTCTTCTAGGTATAGTTGTTTTGCGTAATTTAAAAATTGAAAAGTGGGAGAAAGTTTGCTTCTGGATCAGCATTGTCGTCTATATGTGTTTCACCATTGGTGCCATATTGTTTAATATTTATTGTGTGAAAATTGATAAATGCCCTGCTTCCGTATGGGCTACCTAGACGCCAGTCAGTCTCTTACGACAATTCACTGATGTATTATTTCATCTACACAATGTAATCTAAAAGGCTGTCAAACAAGACAACTTTTAATTACTTATACAGTAAGCATATATGTGCTTGTGCCTAAATTTTTCGATTTATTTATTTTCTGACATTTTTGTTTTGAATTTTGGAACTTCTCATTTTCTTTTTTTATTGATTTTATAAGCAACTTTGATGATCATAATAGTAGTAATAATAATAGGATTAAATATTATTATCATATTCATTTATCCATGTTGCTTTTTTATTACAACTATGTTATACTGTTATACCACAAACTCTCTGTCCTGGCTTTATTCTTGTGAAAACGAATCTCTTCCTCTCACTTCTTCTCATCATGAGGATTCACCTATTTCTGCATTACATATTTTGATTTGAATATATATATATATATATATATATTCATCAGGTAAAATTATACAGATGCACATATCTTGCTTTGTGACATTTGTAAAACTTTATTACCAGAAAGTATCAAATTTTCAGTCCAATAGACTTACTTCTCGAGTGAATTTATGAGAACGAGTGCACAATCCTTAGTGAATGCATCATTTCCGATGGAATTTCGCCCCAAAATGTACATGCGAACTGTGAAAAAGGCTACTTTCAGTTGAAAAGGGAAAAATCACAGTTTTTTCTTATCTCTCGATTCTAGTCGTTGTGCACTAACCTTTTTCTGGTTTTTAATTAAATCTACCCTAAATAATCATTCTCTATTCACATTGACAGAGATGTGCTGTTTCTGTTTACAGTATTTTTATTGTCTACAGTATTTGCGTAATTAGTGTTATCTTTTTTCATTATCTAATGAAGAACACAAGGTATGACTATGCGTCTGATTACTGTGTGGGCGGGCATAGCTTGAATGTCTACGTACGTGTGTGTATGTTTTGGTATTTTTATATACGTTTCAATGTGTGCGCGGTGATTTTTATCTGTAAAAAATCACAAAATAATCAAGAGAGAGAAATATAGATGAAATTTAATTGTATTGTCGTTTTGCTTTGTTTGTACTGTAACAGAGCATACTTTTTTCTCTTATTGATCACGTTTAACTATGGTTTTCCGTTATTGTTTGTGCCAGCAAGCAATATACTGATTCTACCATCTAAATCTGAGTACTTGTCGTAATGATAATTTATACCTTTCAATACATTTTTTCGATTATTGAATAAGATAATAAACAACAATAATAATTGTTGTTTTAAAGTCGCTCTTACTTCATTGATTATTTCAGGTAATTTGTAATTCGGTCATGATTGGCAGGTTGGATGGTTATACCTTCAAAATATTTTGATAGGAAATTAAAACAATGATGATTTTGAACGTTTTATGGTCTAAGTCAGAGGATTTTTAAGTTTAAATTTTGTTTGCTTTGATTGAAGCATTTTCTAAAGCGTTTGAAGACTAGATATGGATTATAATCCTGTAAATACTCTTGGATTTGTTCTGAGACACCTCTTCTGGAGTTGTTCTACTCCAAGCCTCCTCAGCAACGCCTACCAGTGTCTCTGTCATGTTACGAGGCCAGCATGTTATCTTTCAGCCGGGGAGTCAGAATCCAGTTACTCATGATATTTGCTTAGTAATTAAATGGCTTAGTTCCAGCATTTGTTAGTCACATGTCTTCAGTGGCACGCCGGATTAAAGAGAGACAAGGTACGAAAGTAATTTGAGTTGGTCTCGTTTCACCTAGTTTACGAACAACTTAAAGAAAGTATTTATTTATATTACACCAGTCGTTATTTTAAATGAGACCAAGTTTGTAAATCGGGATGTTTATAGATAAATCAGACTTGAGAATGGCATAAGTGAAGCATTGGATAGAAATTTCGTTATGGAAATGTATTCAAAATGGATCGCGAACCTGTTGGTGGCCTGCTTTAACCTTGGTTATCAAAATTTTCCACCATATATTGCATCTAATTCCTCGGCTTTATTTTATTTTCATCATTCATTTGCGTTTGAATCGTATTATTTACTCTCGTGATTATTTAGAATGTTTTCAACTATCCAATTTATAATAAACCTAAGTCATCTATGGGAACATGTTTCGAATTTATACCTATTACTATAACCTTTCCTTTTTTGAAAACTATGGAAAAGTTACTTTTACTTAATCTTGAACCTTCGCTTAAAGCCTTTAAGGATTCCAAACAATTTGCCTGCAAACATAGTGGAATTATTTGGAGGGTTTCATAACGAGCTGACATCAGTTAGAAAACCTGGGAGTACTGGGCAGCTGTTTCGTCCTAGTTTGGGACTCTTCATAGCACGCACCCACCTCCAGTCACTCAAACAAAATCCTTACAAAAACTAATACGTGAAAGTAGTAGAATTACTTTAGATGCAGATGCAGTCTTGCATCATAACATCGTCTCCAGCTTAGACAAGGGGGCTAAATTTGTTCGCTGCACCTCCCTAGATTGCACATCCGCTTTCGACTCAGTACCTCAGGATATTTTGTTAAACAAACTTGCTGAAACGGAGTGTGGGGTTGTCAAATGGCTGTATTCTTATTTCTCAGAAAGAAAGCAGTACACTGTATGTCAGGGGTAGTCGTCCACTTCATTGTTCACTGAGGCTGGTGTCTCTCAAGGCGCTGTCCTTTCTCCTTTTCTGTTTTCTTTCTTCTTGCATGACTTGCCTCACACTGATAAAATGATGTTTGTTAAGTATGCAGACGATCTAACTATTCCAGTGTCTGTTAACTCCCAACTAGACCTTACTAAGATGAACAGCTTTGTATCAGTAGTCAGCAAATGGTCTTCATCTAATGGTCTTAAAGTGACTCCTTCCAAATGTCAGACTGTTAATTTCAGTTTCCGATGTGAAAGAAAATTAAATGAAGCTGTTAATTCCCATGACTGTTGTAAAATTGATGATACTGATATAGAAATATCTAGGACTAATTCTTTCTTCTGATCTATCCTGGCCTTCTCAAGTCTCAGCAATTTCTAAAATAAAATACTCCGTCTGACATTTTATACTAAGAAGTTATGGCACTCGGCATAACTCAGCCCCTCCTCTTACAGTTTGTCAACTCTAGCATCTTACTTTTTCTTCTTTATTGTTCACTTTTATTCTTTTCTGGGTTGCTTAAAAAAGACTATGTCATATTTTTTAAAACTCTGTCGGTAGGGTGAATGGTATCTGACTGGATCATATCGTTGACATCGTGATTGACAGGCACTTGATTTCATGCAACAAATTTGCGAAGGGGATTTTGTCAGACTGTGAGTATCCATTTTACCCGCTTTCGCCTTATGTCTCCCAAGGTAAAACAACAAGTCATTTCAGAAGACTTTATGCACGCACTTCTAAGTATAACAATCCCATTATACCATATTTGGCGGCACGTATTCTATGTGGTGAAAGTGGTGTGAGGCACGAACTAACTAAACTTCTTACCATTAGTATACAAACAATTTTCTCAAACCTTATAACATCAAGTTTTACTGTTATTATTCTTATATTTATCATCCTGTCATTTTTTAAATTTTCTCCTATGTGTAAGCATCATATAAGCTCTGTAATTGTTATTTTTTGTTTTCTCCCCACCATGCTATGTCAGAAGCTCATTAGATCCAATACTATAACACATGCTGAGATTTACATACTGTATCAACAGTATTGTTTGAAACAAACCCACTATTGTAAGAATAGAACTTGTGCACTGCGATAGGATATAATTCCATTGTGGGTAAAATTTATTTTGGTAAAGTCTCAGTGTTATACAGTAATATTTACTGATGGCTTTTCGAGCACAGTTTATCGCTCACAGTCATATTAAGTTACACAACTTTCCAACTTCGTTTGTATGATTCCAATATTTCTCGTCTCTTCATATGATCGGTAGTAATATTTGAAATGAAATGTAGACCTAGCTGAACTTTCTTATTCATTCAAGAGAGTGCAACAATGATAATCCTGAGGTCTTCGAGATAGGCGTTTTTGTTCAACTGCAGTCGTCATTACTTTACACCAAACCACCCTTTCAAAGTAGGTTTGTCTTCTTTTCGGTTCATTGTATCTTACGTATCTTACTATTATTATTGTTCCTTTGGGTTCCGAGTGGAACATAGGACTTCAACAATATATCTCCACTTCCTTCTATTTTCTGCTATCCTCTTCAGCTGGCCCCAAGATTGCCCACAATCTCTCATCTCCTCCTCGCACGATCTTCTCTAAGTCGCCTTTGGAAGACCCACTTATTGTTTCGTGTTTGCGTTCCACTCAAGAGCCTGTCTCGCAAAGTCATTCGATGGTCTCCTCACCGTATGCCTAACCCATCTCCATTTTCTCTTAGATTTTGCTACGTTTTTGTGAAAACGATGCAGTCGAAGCATAATTTTAAGTAACCACATAAATTGTTTACTAGATAAGTAACATCTGTGTGGCATGACGTTAAAAGATTTTCCCTTTTCAACGACCAATTTTAGTAAGCCATTTACACAATTTTATTCGCGGAATTTTTACAGAATAATTGGCATGAATCATTTAAAAAGTCAACTTTGTTACCATCATCTGATATGATGTCATATCGCACTCGATATATAGGAATGTTACTCAGTGGTTTATCTATCCCTAATGTCTTCGCATTGAATAAATAGAGATTTAAATCTGGAGATTTTGACAACTAAGAAGTTAGTATACTGAATTATTACTGAGTTACTGTAGTAACCAAATTGCAATACGCGAAAAAGATTGTCTTCATTTGATATTTACGTCAGCCACATTTGTTGAAAAAACATTAGAATAGTCTTTACTGTGTCCTTCAGGTAGGGAAATCATACTTGCCATAGCTTACGGAAATTTCTACCCCAATGATTAATTATCAGGAGAAGTTTATAAACTGTGTATGAAAGAATGTCCTTATGATACCAACATAATGGGTGAATAATCGAAATTAAGTTTCTAAGATCCTCTAATTAATGAGAACATTTCATATATAGAGAGATTATAAGATACTTTAATGACGAGGCGTATTCTAGCGCTGCCAGGTTAACGTAATGATATAATTAATACATTATTTGGATATCTGATATTAAATTATGGATTGGTTAAATTTTTATGAGGCATTTATTTGGACGGCTTCAGATTTCTTGCTAGTCAGTGACAGTAAGTCTTGTTTCGCAGTTATATCTTGGCTTCAGGCTTCAGAGTGAAACATTGCATTTTCATGATTTTCATGAAAAATTGCATTTTCATGATTTGATGCTTCTATATGCGGCCTATTGCATCGGGAATGCTTTGTATTTACTTGTGTCCAAGTAGCACTAATCCAAACTGGGGGTGGGGTATTTAGGCTATACTAAATCACATATTGTTGTGAAAACTTATTCATTTTGGACCAAAATACAGTCAACATTATTTGGAATATCAAAACCACTTAGTGTAGTGGATGTTCTTTTTTTCACAAATTGTTTAAACAATGTTAAACTACTGCTGGATTGGACAGCTAAGCTAATCATTTTGAAAAGACAGTTACGTATCACAGCCAGGTGAAACCCTCGATGACACAATAAAATTAATAACAATTCCATAATACGCGCTATTTGTTCACTAAAATTCAAGTTAGCAACGGAAACTCCTCTGTTTTGAGTTCTTCTGTTACCAAGTTTTCTTTTAAAGTTCATTATCAATCAACTACTTATCATCCATTTGCGAGCTGCGCTTTTACGTAAATTAAACAAGTTTAAGAATAAGTTTTCAAAGGTGAGAACATGGAACGTTCCATCTTTATTGAATATTGTGGTTTCCTCCTATTAGCATAAACTGACCCAATGAAATCTACATCAAGAATTCACAGAGAGGAATAAAAATGGCTATTGGGTTTTTATTCAGTGTATCACAGGAGGAATTAGTGTTATTTATATTTCAGCGCTACGAGGATAACTTTTGTTCCACAGTTATATTAAGGACAATGAATCTTCACGTCAATATTCATATTCTTTTGATATATCGAAAATTCATGCTGATTTCTTTTCTTTTGCATAATATATAAAACTACATTTTTTGGTGTTATACATTCCACTTACGGAATAATTTTAGACTGCTTGAAGTTCCGTCATATGATTGTTTTTTATATATTCGCTGTATGGTATGATAGTGACGCAAACATAATAGTGACCCTAATATTATGTGATAAAGAGAACTAAGAAATTCTGATTCCTATTATTATCAGTGTTTT